CCAAAGGGAAAGAAGATAGATCAAAAGAGTCGCCAACAAGTTTTAGGAACTTGTAAACCGTTCACAGGGTGAAGGTTACACCCCTTAACGCGATCCAAGAGATCGTTAACTCCAATAGGTTTGGAACCATGACTGGAAGTTCCGGGATAAATGTACAAATCCAATTAAAAGAGAAAGAAACTGCCCTAATAATAGACCTCTACTTTATTTTTCTCGTATTCATGTGCGCTTTCTGGCTAACATGCAATTAATAGATTTACCCTAAACATGTTTAATCTATCTATGTTGATTGAATATAAATGCACAAATAAATCTATTATTGACGATCACTTGAATTATAATCAAATTAACGCTAAACAAGATTATTAATTATCTTATTAAGCGTGATTACAAGTATAAATTCCCTTTAAACATGCATAAAAAGGTGTGATCAAGCAATAACAATAAATATATAACAAGCAACATAATAATAAAATTATATATAAATAAATGATCTGTTATAGGAAATAACATGAAATAATTCGTAAATTAATAAATTACTTAAACAATTCGTAAATTAACAAATTACGTGAAATAATTTGCAAATTAACAAATTACGTGAAACAATTCGCTAATTAACAAATTACATGAAACAATTCGCTGATTAACAAATTATGTTAAATTATATAATTCGACACAACAAAAATCATCAACATCATAATAATTATAACAATTATAAAAATAATTATGTTAACAATAAATCATAATAATATTAACAAGATCCTAAGCATGATACTAACAAGATTAATAACAAACCCTAGCATGTCAATAAACATTAAAAGATCAAAAATTTAGCCCTAAAATGATACTAACATGATATTAGGAAAGAAAATAGGAAGCATTCTTCTAATCATTCTTAACATTAGAAATATTAATCATTACCATAAACATGATACTAGGAAACAATAAAACATCCTAACATGATACCAGGAATCAAAATAACAATCTAAACAAGATTTCTATATAAAAATATCAACAAAACAGTTAAAATATTTACTTGGATGGCTTGTATCTATTTCTAAAAACAAAATACACACATTAATAACTTCAAAGAAAATATAAAATTAAAGAATCTAAATTAAATAATTGAAATAGAGATTCGGGACCAAACCCTCGGAAATATCAGACCTTTCACGTCTAGGGCGAAGGCAACTTCGAACTTGAGTAGGTGTGTCTAGATCTTGTGAATGCGGAATTTTGTTTTGTAAAAGGCTAGTTTAGAAGGAGAGAGAGAGAAAATCAAGAAATTCTTGATGAGAGTTGGTTGAAAACGGAGGTCTAAGGACCCTATTTATAATAAAACAGTCCGAAATTGATAGAAATGAATCAGAGTTTGATAAGAAATATAACACGCCTCTGTCACCAACAACAGGACCTGTCACCAGGCGACAGAGTCTGTTGCCAGGCGACAAACTTGTCGTCTGGCGCTGCAAGACAGTTTTTGCGGATTTTGTTTTTATCATATCTTTTGATCCTGATGTCGAAACAAGTCATATATTATGTCGTTGGAAAGATCTTGAAGTCTACTTTCCACCCAAATTCGAATCATATTAAAATATTTTGTATACAAAAAGATATGGCCGAAATAGTGGAAGGGTGTCAGTTTTAGATAGAGTTTTGTATCTCATTCATATCTTTTTCTTATAGCTCGGAATTAATATTATAATATATCGTTGGAAAGATAATTCAAGATCTTTCCAACCATATAAGATTTGGATAAAGATTATAAGGCACGAAAATAATTTCTAAATATATTCCATTTCATACAAAACAAGGATTCTCAAAAGGAGTAGTTTTATTTAATTTCAAACTCTTTGAAACATAATTATCAATCCTAATTCCATTAGGATTTAAGAGGACCTTCTAGAGTATTCTAAAAGACTATAATCAATCCTAATAGCTGATAGGCGTGTCGCGTACCTAACAAAAATAAAACTAACTAGACCACTACTATGTGGACGGGCAAGCAAGGGTCGGATCCCAAGAGACTATGGTTCAACTAGTCAAATAGACTCAAGCAATTACTGAACAAGTAACAAAACCAATTGAGTTAAAATCAATAACTAAAGAACGAATTAAAATGATTAAATCAAAACAATATGATAAATCAATGCTAAAAACATCCAAGATCAAACATCACCACGAATACAGATAATGCAATAGTCGTTCTACCCCTAACACATAATTCAATTGATTAAAGAGGAAAAGTAATTCATGAATAATACCAATGGTCTCTCCCGAGTTATCAGTGGCTTCTCTAATCACAATCAAGCCTACTTCCGTGGAATCATGTAAATTAAAGACCTTAAGCACATTCCTCTAACTTCCTAATCATCCATTCAACTACTCCCGTGATGAACTTCAAACCCTTAATTGATTTATTCAAATCCGTCAAAACCCAACTCCCGTTGCGATTAAAACAAAGGATTAATAACAATACCAATTATCCCTAATCTAGTGTTGACATAAGCATAATTAATTAAGCATATCAATTACAATTATTATTAGAGAATTTAAAGAATTAAATCATGCAATAATCATATTCGGGTTCCGCTAGATGTTGGAATAAGAAAACTACTCACACATATTAACGAAAACAAAAACAATAATCAATGAAGAAAACATGATTAATAAGTAATTAAAAGTAAAACAAGAAATAAAGATGAATACCATTTGCTTGAATGAAGAAAAGTACCAATTGTTGATGAATAAAGATCAAAACTTGAAAGTGCAAATTAATCTAGATCTAGAGAGAATATTAGGGTTCTAATGAAGGTTTAAAATCTAGAAAATAATAACTAAGTATGTTTTAGTCGGGCTTTACAAAGGGTATTTATATCCTTTAATTGAGAATACCCGAAAAAATAGGAAAATGCGGTCATCGACACTCAGCTCAGTCTGACCGGGCAAGGCTGCCCGGTCGGACGCGCGAAGCAAAATTGAGCTTACGCCTTCAAGAATTCCTTCATATGCAGCGCTTTTGTCCGCCCGGTCAGCCAGGGCAATGCTGCCCGGTCGGGCGCGGAATACACACTCCACAGCTGACCTTCGAAGCTTATAATCAATAAAAATCTTCTCCGCCCTGGCTGCTAGGGCAATGTTGCCCATCCAGGGCGATGAGAAGAAGATGCTTCGTAGTAATCTTCGTTTGTCTCTTCTCTTTCTTCCATCTTAACAAACTCTCGTGACCATCCAAATTAGTCTCGTTCATCCTGAAATACATCAAAAACAATGAAACTACCCATAAAAGCACAACATGATCACAACAAAATCAAAACAAGCTAAAATAAGCTATGAACAATTAATCTAAGCTTGAAAACTACCTAAATGAACTCTAAAAACACGCTCAATATACGACTTATCAAACTCCCCTAAGCTAGACCAATGCTTGTCCTCAAGCATTGAAACATAGAACACAAGAAGAGTAGGATGGTCCCTCAAGCAAGAATATATGTGAGAACGAATAAAAACCAAGTGAAAAAACAAGAAATGCAAGTTAGTGATTATAAAACCACCATAAACTTCAAGCATTCGGAATTGACAACCAATCTTTCCACACATCTCCCCTAACCAACTCAGTCATATATGAATAGCATCTCACTTTAGTTGTTCAAATAAAACAAATAAGCCACTCATGTGTTTATAAGGGTTAGAATAATAAATCACTCATCTTAATTGCAATTATGCACGTCTACTTCATGCAATTGTCCTCTTTAGATTTGCTCATAGATTTTCTCCACTTGTAATGCGATGATGCAAGTACGGAAGTCATGAGATCCTAAATAAGGGTAGGCTTGGTTATATGGGGTTAGACGATGTCATTTGGGAATGTGGTGCTCAAAAATAACAAAAATCTTAATCCCACTACATAGCCAAATGTCGGGTTCAAACTAACCTTATATCCTCCGCACAACATATAAGCATGCCCTTATTCTCACTTTTATTCACAAGATAACATAGATTTCCATGACAAACATTGCCTTTTTTTTTTCTTATTCATTCTCATTTTCTCATTTTTTTCAATTTTTTCTTTTTTTTTTCTTTGAAACTTAGAGCATACACAAACTTTTTTTTTTTGAATTTTTTCATTTTTGCTCTTTTTTTCTAACTTCTTTTTTCTTTCTCTTTTATTTTCCAAACACAACTCAACAAAGCATAAATATTACATTGATTCTCCATAAACCTACAAAAAGGCTCTAAGGCATAAAATGTAAGGCGTCAAAGAAGGGGAATCATGGCTCAAATTGGTTCATCCTAAGAGTTACTGTAAAATAAAACGAAAATAAAATAAGCAACAAACACCTAAGAAGTTTTGGCTCTAAATATCTAAAAGGAACTTCAATCACTCTTCCACATTGCATCATAAGTCTCAAATAATCGCAAAGAAAATCAAATAATCAAATTACATGAACGAAATTCTAACACACATGAAAAAAGAATGGCTGAAATAAGATGTATCAGTAAAAAATGGCTCAAAAGTCTCACATAGGTACTCAAGCTATCCATATTGGTCGAGCGGGGAGACCATTCTAGCCACAAACAAGTTCAATTCCAAATCAATAAGTGAATGGGTTTTCAAAAACAATTTTTTCAATTTTTAAAATCACACATATATTACATATAATCATCGAGGCATAGTCGTATAAAGAACCCAAAGCAGAAAGTAATCCCTCCCCCAAGCTAAACTTCACATTGTCCTCAATGTGAACATATATCGAATAAGAACATGCAAGGGAAAAAGAAAACTAGGCCCTACTGGCAGAGGAGGTATCATACCTAAGGGCGGACCTGGGACCGCCCTAAAAATAACGTCGCATCATAACCCCAAGACACTAAAAAAAATAAATAAAAATAAAATAAAAGAAAGAAACTAAAAGGAAAATAAAACAAAAAAAAAGGAAATGGGTTGCCTCACATTTAGTGCTTGTTCAAGGTCTTTAGCTCGACCCCTCTTTAGTAGCTCAACCTGGGTCACCACACGGAGAAGATACTCTGTGGTATTTCTCATCAATATATCCACCTCCAAACGACTCCTTCAAATTAGAGTTGATGTGCTTTGTATTCGAATTGACCTTCATGTAATTAAACCCATCATGTGGTGGAATATTGTCCTTTTTGCTCACAGGATTTCTATTAGAAATACACTTATCAACCAAAAGGTTAGTAGCATCGATTCTCAAACAAGTACCACCATCAAAAGTAAAATTATGGTCATTGAAAAGCTTAAACACAACTTGTTTATCCTGAGCTCTAATGGTCACTTGTCCTTTAGGAACATCTATTAAAGCTTGACTTGTAGCAAGAAAAGGGCGACCAAAGATGAGTGGGATCTTATGATCTTATTTCATATCCACTACAACAAAGTCAACAGGAAAAACAAGTTCACCAATCCCAACTAATACATCTTCAACTACACCCTTAGGGAGTCTAACAGTTCTATCAGCCATATGAAGAGATATAGGAGAGGGTTTAAGGTTTTTCAAACCTAATTTGTCATACACTAAAGAAGGCATTAAGTTAACACTAGCACCCATATCACACAAGACCCTATCAAAATATGTTTCGTTTATCATACAAGGGATAGTAAAACTACCAGGATCATGCAATTTAGGTGGTAAGCTATCATGTAAAGGATCAGGACATTTCTCCTTTACTACCAAACTTTCTAATTTCTTATCATTATGATCATGATCTAGAATTTATTTCACAAAATTTGCAAATTGAGGCATTTGAATTACAAGATCGGAAAAAGGAATGGTAGCATATACCTTCTTAAGAGTCTCAGAATATTTCCTAAAATGCTTATCGAGCACGACTTTTGATAACCTTTGCGGGAAAGGCATCGGTTCCTCATAGGCTTGTGGAGCGACATATTTGGGACCTTCATTCTCGCTCATTTCAGTTTTTGACTCCAGATTGCACACTTTCTCCTCTAATCCCCCCGTAGTCAATCCATCTCTTTTCACGAAAATTGCATTGCGTTGTTTCGTTTGGACTTTTGCTTGATCTTGAAGAGTTGATAGATGACTCACTTGTTGTGATAGTTGAGAAAGATGAGTTTCTATCCTCTTATTTTGAGCAAAAAGCAATTGAATCGAGTTTTCAAAATATTCATTTTGCTTTGCTTGTAAATCAAATTGCTTTGATATAAGCTCTTGTTGTTGACATTGGGAGGTAGCAAAAGTCTCCATAATGGATTCAAGATTTGAAGATTGAGGTGGTGGTTGGTGCATGGGATGATGATTGAAAGGTGACCTTGCTTGAAAAGCTGGTGGTGGTGGAGGATTTGCTATAGCTTGAGTGTTCTTGTATGAGAACCCTTGATGATTTCTCCACCCTTCATCAACTGGCCTTTTGGAGGTCGTGGTATAGAAAGCATTAGCTTGCTCAATCGTCATTCCATCATAATTGGGCTGACACTCCCGCGCCGTATGGCCTTGCAATCCACACATCTGACAAGTTTCCATCGAGGGTCGAGGGGACTCAGCTTGGAGTAAATTGACCTTATGAGTTAGTGCCTGCACAGAACTAGTAAACATGGTTAGAGCATCAACATCATGTTTATTACTTGTGTTGATAACATTTATTCCCCTTGGATGGTAATTATCATTAGCCGCCATCTTCTCAATCAAATCCTTCGCATCGGTTGGATTCTTCGTCATGATAGAACCCCTCCAGACGCAGCATCAATGTATATGCGAAACTCATGGGTTAAACCATTATAGAATGTTTGGATCAACATCCATTCTGGAATACCATGGTGAGGGCATTGTCTCTGCAATCGCTTAAACCTTCTCCATGCCTCATATAAGGATTCGTCATTAGATTGATGGAAGGTAGATAGCTCGTTCCTTAATTTCGCGGTTTTCTCTTGCCCCAAGAATTTGACTAAGAAGGCCTTAGCAAGCTTGTCCCACGTATCAAAGGAACCAATACCTTCATCTCGTAGTCGTTCCCTTGCCCTATCCCTTAGTGAAAAAGGGAAAAGGCGTAGTCTAATAGCATCATCAGTGACACCGTTAAGTTTCATAGTGTCACACGTCTCTAAGAAACTATCAATATGAGTCACAGGGCAATCATTTGATGAGCCCGCAAAAGAACCATTGGAGATGAACTGTATGAATTGGGGCTTTAACTCAAAACTCTGAGCGGTGACAGGTGGTCTAACAATACTGGAGAGAAATCCGGTTGTTGTATCCGGAATACCATACTCCAAAAGAGATTTTGTTCCTAGGTCGACCATGTTTCTTTTATTTCGATTTCTCCTTCTTCTACTTCTTGCAGTAGCTTCGATCTCATAATCAAAAGGTGTTAAATCATCTGAACCTGAACTTCGAGTTTGCATGCAACAAAGAAACAAGGAACAATAGCCGAAGCAACAAAATATATGCTTAGTAAAACGAATCACAAATAACTAGAATGAAACCGTTAGTCCTCGGCAACGGCGCCAAAATTTGATAGGCGTGTCGCGTAACTAAAAAAAATAAACCTAACTAGACCACTACTATGTAGACGGGCAAGCAAGGGTCGGATCCTAAGAGACTAAATGATTAAACTAGTCAAATAGACTCAAGCAATTACTAAACAAGTAACCAAACCAAATGAGTGAAAATCAATAACTAAAGAACGAATTAAAACGATTAAATCAAAACAATATGATAAATCAATGCTAAAAACATCCAAGATCAAACATCACCGCGAATACAATTAATGCAATAGTCGTTCTACCCCTAACACATAATTCAATTGATTAAAGAGGAAAAGTAATTCATGAATAATACCAATGGTCTCTCCCGAGTTATCAGTGGCTTCTCTAATCACAATCAAGCCTACTTTCATGGAATCATGTAAATTAAAGACCTTAAGCACATTACTCTAATTTCCTAATCATCCATTCAACTACTCCCGTGATGAACTTCAAACCCTTAATTGATTTATTCAAATCCGTCAAAACCCAACTCACGTTGCGGTTAAAACAAAGGATTAATAACAATACCAATTATCCCTAATCTAGTATTGGCATAAGCATAATCAATTAAGCATATCAATTACAATTATTATTAGAGAATTTAAAGAATTAAATCATGCATTAATCATATTCAAGTTCCGCTAGATGTTGGAATAAGAAAACTACTCACACATATTAACGAAAACAAAAACAATAATCAATGAAGAAAACATGATTAATAAGTAATTAAAAGTAAAACAAGAAATAAAGATGAATACCAATTGCTTGAATGAAGAAAAGTACCAATTGTTGATGAACAAAGATCAAAACTTGAAAGTACAATTAATCTAGATCTAGAGAGAATATTGGGGTTCTAATGAAGGTTTAAAAGCTAGAAAATAATAACTAAGTATGTTTTAGTCGGGCTTTACAAAGGGTATTTATATCCTTTAATTAAGAAAACCCGAAAAAATAGTAAAATGCGGTCATCGACAGTCCGCTCGGTCTGACCAGGCAAGGCTGCCCGGTCGGGCGCGCGAAGAAAAATTGAGCTTACGCCTTCAAGAATTCCTTCATATGCAGAGCTTTTTTCCGCCCGGTCAGCCAGGGCAATGCTGCCCGGTTGGGCGCGCAATACACACTCCACGAATGACCTTCGAAGCTTGTAATCAATACAAATCTTCTCCGCCCTGGCTGCCAGGGCAATGTTGCCCTGCCAGGGCAATGAGAAGAAGATGCTTCGTAGTAATCTTCGTTTGTCTCTTCTCTTTCTTCCATCTTAACAAACTGTCGTGACCATCCAAATTAGTCTCGTTCATCATGAAATACATCAAAAACAATGAAACTACCCATAAAAGCACAACATGATCACAACCAAATCAAAACAAGCTAAAATAAGCTATGAACAATTAATCTAAGCTTGAAAACTACCTAAATGAACTCCAAAAACACGCTAAATATACGACTTATCAATAGCTTTAGGAATGATAATGAATAATAGGCCCTCCTCTAAATCATTGGGCCGCATATAAGAACCAAACTAGGCTCAGTTTAGTATTTTGGCCATAACTTCCTTATTATTCATCGGAATTAGGCTTATAATATATCGTTGGAAAGGTCTTTTCGAGCCCTATCCAACTACACTGTTATTGGACCCTTATCATGGACCAAACTAAACTGGTATGCACATTTTTCATAAAATAGGGTAAGAAAAAAAATATTTTCAAAAACAGAAAGAAGAGATATATTAATAAAAGCATCCTCTTCACTACACTTTTCACACTTTCACGTCGTTCGATAATCAAATGACATGAAAGGTATTCATCACTGGTTTTGGTTTTGGGGAGACACATTTGGGTGTCTACAGGTAAGTTTATTTCTTTTTCTTTAATCAAAGTTATTACACAGTTTGTGTATTAATAATTGTTTGGATTTTGCAGGATGTACAACAGCCGTCCGGGAGTCGCCAAGCATCCTGACTTCCTTTTTATATTATTTTTTTGGAAACATATGAAAATGTTTTTTTGTTGAATATATGACACACATTTTGTATATATGTCATTATTATATTATTTTTTTGTTCCATGATTTTTTTTTTTTTAAGTAAAGCAAAATAAATTTCCGAGGGAGGGAAAGGGTTCCCGACTTACCCCCCTAGAAAAAATAACAAAAAAGAAACAAAGAAAAAAGGACAGGAAAAGGAAAGTGAAAAGGAAAGGAAAAGGAAACGAAAGAAAGAAAGAAAAAAGGAGAATAAGAAAGAAATAAGAAAATAAAAATAAAAATAAAAAATCATAAAAAAGGATATAAGAGTTAACAAAGTTAAGTGTATGATTAGTCATAACATTTCGTCAATATTCCGTTATTATGTAGTTTAAAATATGGAAATAAATCAAATCAACATGTCGCTACAGACCAGACGCGCGCAACAGGATGTGTTGCGCACGCTTGTCGCACACATGTAAATTAGTTGCGTGCGACAGGCGCGACAACTCGTGAGTTGTGCGCGCCACCTGCGGGTGAACTTTCCTTTGAGCGAAAATTGCCGAAAATTTGCCCCTTTTGGGACCATTTAAACGTGGTTTTGTGTAGGCTTTTGATCATCTCGCATTCATTCGCTTAGTAGTGCTATAAAGGATTAAAAAGAATTAAAATCTCTAACTTCTTTCCCTCTCTTTTTTTTTACACATTGATCAATGGCAAAAACCTTTGAACAACAGTTGAAGCAATGGGTCACTTCCCTGTCAACTTAGGATAAACTAGCCTTCAAAATATACCACCTTGACCCTCTTTTGAGTAATGTGCGACCAGTTATAAACTTTGATTTTCTCCATGCCGTTGTCAATGAATGGGACTTAAACCACCATCTCTTTCTTTTCAAAGGGGATGAAATTGTCCCATTACCTGGCGAGTTTAAGGCTCTACTAAGCTTCCCTGCAAATACTCTCCCCGTGACATATGCCCCTAACTTGTTAGATCCCAAACCTGTATTTCAAAGATTTTTTTGTTTGAATGACAATGATATGGCTAGCATTGGAAAAGAAGAAGGCATGGATTTAATTCAATTTATTGAACATTTTATCGCCCCTCGTGACTACTTGACTAATCAACGTTTTAAAATTCGTCCTTTATGTTATTGTCTTGTTGTCAATTGTTTACTTAAGATAGGTAAAGAATACGGAGATTATTCCATGGTGTCCATAGTAGAGCAAATAGAAGGGTGTCATTCACCCGCTCTTTTAGCTTTGGCGGAAACCGTTCTATGCTTGAATCACCTTAGAGGAGACCCTAACGAGAATGGTTTCACGGGAAGTCCACTTCTATTACACGTACGTTATTTTTTCGTCGTAATGAAGCGCAAGTTAGGAAGTTGCGCTGGCTTGACCAGCACAATCTTCTCCGATGCTCGCGGTTGGCACACGCAACTGATTTTTATGCGCGCGCCACATGTTCGTTCGCAAATTAATGTTCTTCCTTTTTTTTTTGTTTTTCAGATTTGGCTCATGGAGCGTTTGCGAATTGTTGAACAACCACAAAATTTTGAGGCTAACGGAGTGAGAATATTCCTAGAACGTCAAATTCTCTACAAACACAAGAATGAAGAGGAATGGATGTCGTTTTTCTGTCATGGGGTTTCCAACATACGCTTTGTGATTCCTTGGTTGAACATAGGTAGTATGGTTGAGAATAGTTTTAATTGTCCCTATATTAGGCTTTTAGTCCTATCTAGTACTACTTACATCTTTCCTTGCAGGTTGATGAGACAATACGGAATGAAACAAATTATCCCCCCTCAAGATTGTGATGCCCCTAAAGATGTAATATTTAAACCAGAATGGATTCCTCGTTGGATGGAATATTAGTCAAGTCTCCCTAGATGGGTAGTTGACAGGCTAAAGTCGTATCACCTAATCATAAGTAATTCCTAAAACCACTAACTAAAATAGATAGGGAAGTAGGGTCGAATCCACAGGGATGCGGAAACAAGTCTTTCTATTCCTAACTAATTAATATAATCTAGATTATCAAGTAACCAAATTTGTTGTTGTAAAAGGAATTAAACTAAGGAGAATAAAAGTAGGGAAGAATAAAAGTAAGGAGAAGTCAATTAATAAAAGCCTAGGGAATAGGTTCACCAATAATAATTTTCCAGGGTAAAACATAATAATCAATCATCAATGCATCAAATTAACCAGATCATAAAGGGCTTTCGCT